AATAGTATTCTTTTTTAAAAATTATGCAAAGTAGATTATATTTTGCAAGAAAGATAGCACAATCACAGAAAATCATAATCGCAAAAACATTATTTTATACTGGTTCCACCTCCCAAGTGTACATCCAGTCCCCAAGAAAATCCCACTTGAGAGTTTTACTATGATTTTGAAAAACTTATAAAACCAAACAGTAAACCTGACCAATTTGCAAGACCATACAAATTGCACACTATCTCTTCACCAAGAGATCGAACCTTTCACTCCCGTGAGAACAATTTCCTTGTATCAACAACTCGATTCCTATAAGCCTTGAATGTGTAGTGATGTATAGCAGTGGCTTAGGAATGTTATTAATCTCTGGAAGTTGCCTAAATAAGTTGTATGTTGAATGAAGATCAAAGGCTAACTCAGAGAATGCTTTTTCTCAACACTTAGTGAAAATCTAAATGTTTTGAACTCTTGAGAATGCACAAAAAATTGAACCTTATGGATAGGAATGATTAATAACAATTACTGAACTTATAACCTATTTATATCCCTTGAAAAGATAACTTTTCAAAGTCAATTAATGGATCAAAACCACTATAAACAGTAAGTATTTTAAATTTTGAAATGTTAAAAAAAACTGTTACTGTAGTCGACTAGTAGTTGTTGTAGTCGACTACACTGAGTTAAAATAGACTCTTTTAATTTAGGATTTTTCTTAGTAGTCGACTACACTGGTCATTAGTCGACTACTCTATAAACGACAGAAAGTCTGAAATTCAAATTCAAAGCTGAATAGTCGACTATACTGTGTAGTAGTCGACTACACTGTAAACAACAGAAAGTTAAGAATTCTGAAATGAATTTTAGTAGTCGACTATATAGTTTAGTAGTCGACTACACTGTAACTTTACAGAAACTAAGATTTTGCCTAAGTGTTTAGTAGTCGACTATAAAAAGTTATTAGTCGACTAGACTGTAAATTAACAGAGACTTATATTTTTGATCTGAACTTAAGTAGTCGACTACAAGTCTTATTAGTCGACTACTAAGGGGTGAAAATTGATATGAATAAAATATTTTTAGACTCATTGATAAGCTATAAACTCTAATAGTTAACATAGGAGATTTTTATTATTAACCAATATACTAAGCATGTGTTAGTGTGTTCTAATCTCTATGTGTGTGTATGTGTGAGTGATCAAGGCTTATACAAAATTTCTAAGTAAAGAAAATGTAAAATTTACATTGATGTATAAGCTCGTCATCTTCTTTACTTCATGATGTCTTGAACTCATCTTGTACTTGTTCATATTTGATGCTGAAAGCTGCATTGATATATTAGTGCATAATAATACACATATTGATATACATAATGAATAAATTGTTATCATCAAAATTATATCTTGGGGACATGATATCCAACATTCTCCCCCTTTTTGATGATGACAAACAATTTACACATATGTAAGTATATTCTGAAAAAATAAACATGTAGGAACAAATATACTTACTCTCCTTGCATAAGAGCATATTAGAGTCTACAATTAGAGTCTACAATTCATATATATAGCATAACTAACATTTGTACCATATACCATTCTCCCCCTTTGTCATTAACAAAAATAAATAAACATCTTCTTTAGTCATTAGTGTGTTCTAATCTCTATGTGTGTGTATGAGTGAGTATGTCATTAGTGTGTTCTAATCTCTATGTGTGTGTATGTGTGAGTGATCAAGGCTTGTACAAAATTTCCAAGTAAAATGTAAATTTTACATTGATGTATAAGCTCTTCATCTTCTTTACTTCATGATGCCTTAAACTCATCTTGCACTTGTTCATATTTTATGTTGAAAGCTGCATTGATATGTTAGTGCACAATAATACACATAGTGATATACATAATGAATAAATTGTTATTATCAAAATTATATCTTGAGGACATAATATCCAACAAAATGTTGTTCTTTAATTAGTGGAATTATGGTTGTGCTTCTGCTTATTATTTACAAACTTGATGATGATGTCCGCTCAAGTTTTTGTGTTAGGAAATTGATAATTTTTTTAAATACATGTTTATTAACTTGTTACTTCCCATGATATGAATGATACTGATTTTGAATAATTATGCTTGAACTGTATCATTTTCTAGACCTTATTCGGAATCATCGTTCTTCACCTGAGGTTATGAATAACTGGCAAGTCCAAAACTATGTAAGATTATACGCAAATTAGAACCATCATAAAATTGACTCAATTTTCTTGAGTTAAGATTGTGCAAACATATTCGGTAACTTATAATTTTTTTGAAAATATGGTAGAATCACAATTTAATTTAATTATTTTTTTATAAATTGTTTAAAATATAAATCTAATTCAAAAAAGTATGAATTAAAATTATGTTGTGGTAATTTTCTTTCGCCTTTTCTCAGAAAGGTAACCAAACAAGAGAAAATAATTTTTATATGAATTTTCTTCTAACTTTCATTACAATATTCTTTCTAAAAAAATAAT